TGCACAGAAAAAAAGTTCTTTAATCTTGCCTCAATATAGCTCATTTTTTTGTGCGATTAAAAAATAATATTCATTACCATAGAGAAACAGGAAAGGCTCAGGCTTAAGCAAGCGTAGATCACTACTGATTTGACACTTGCATTCTACCTGTTTCACTCGTTCGCAGCACTACAAAGAAACGCGACAGAAGAAACATAACTGTTGGGTAAAGCTTTAATTTTAAAAGAAATTATTTAAGATTTTACTTTTTTATTGCCAAAAAGAAAATTAAAAAATAGGGCATTTTAACATAAACTTGCCAATTTTAAATTACAAAAAAGGGGACATTTTGAGTTTTGCCATTTGCGGATTGCCATTTTTAATACTATAATCTAACTTAAGTTGCACCAAATAGATTTTTAACTCCTATACCATAAAAAATATTTTCTTATTATCATATAATTGAAATTTCAAAATTTTTATGTTGACAAATCATTTTCTAAAATCAATTTAAAAGTTTAAAATACTATTTTGTGAGAAGATATAAATTATTTTACAAAATATGATTATATTTTATAAAATAGTTAAAATATTTTCACAAAAATGCAATTCAGACTATAAAAGAATTTGTCAAAATTTTATCTTTTGGACTTTTACTGTTTTTAATCTTACCGATTTAATTATATTATTACCTTTTCAAAATAAAATGTAATGAGGAAGCCATTTTTTTTAAATTACCATACATGCATTAGGGTGGTCCTTTACTAAAGGGTTTTTGAAATGTTGGGTTCCATTTAGTGTAAAAGCTTCTATGCTCAGCAAAATAATTGTAAAAAATATTATTTTACACACATTGCCTCAAAATTAACGCATCATTTTTAAAACTGACATATTTTTGATCTAAAATATTTTTGATTAAACCTCGTATACACAAAAGATTCTCTTTTACCGAATTAAATTTTTGTTGATAAATTACCAAAGAAACGATATTATGGTATTTTCGTTGTTTTATTGTTTTTTAGTTTATTGGTCGTAGTCGTCTTCTGGATATTTTCATCTGATTTTTTCACTGATTCTATGCAAGAATAACAACATAATCGCAATTTATCTACAGAAGAATGTGCCATGTCTGTTATTCTTCATTAAGAAGGTAGAAACCAGGTTAAAATAGCTCATCGTCTAAATGTGACAGTCGACAACTAACGGTTTAGTTGAATTATAATTACTAAAATATTATAAACATAAATCACTTCTATAAAATTGATGCGCCAGCTCCGATTTCATTTATATAAATTGATGTATACGTACATACGTTTTTAAATATATTTTATTGTGTAGTAGGCATGACTCATATGTCACAGTAGAAAAATTGTTTTAAAATTCGTTTTTTTGGTAATGTTATTAAGGTTGACAATTTTGTCAAACTTTAGAGCACGGTAAAATTGAAAAAATAGAATCTCTGGAACCACTAGGTATAATTGAATTAAATTTTAAACACTATTGTAGAAATGTTTAGACTATATAATGATCATTTAATTAAGGTTAATTTGTTTAAATAAAAGAATTTTGCATACATTTATTATAAACAATTGAAATTTTGTATGTGTTCTTCACGCTGAAAAAAAATTAATCTTGTGTCATAATATGCGGCAAACGTTTCCGTTTAATAAGATGTACTCAAAAATTTTTCTTTCCTATGTCATTCCGGAGATATTAATTTTTTTGTCCCGCTGTGCGCTTGATCAGTACGCGGCGCGCTTCGTTTCTAGCTCGTCCGTTCTAACGTTTTAACGGTGTGCCTGAACGAAGTTTAAGTCACATAAAAATGCCGCCAAAAACTGATTGTAGTTTCTTGTTCGGGACCCTTTGGTGACTTAAAAATGATATTTACCAAAGTTCTAGCTGGTACTCTTTTCAAAATTGTTCGAAAATTCATGATTTTTTTTTAAATTTTTGTTTATCTCTTTGACAAAGTACACATTTGCACACCGATTTTTATAAAATTAGAGTAAATTATTTAGAGAATACTTTTTAATATTGTTCACATTATTTTATATACAGGGTTAGCCAAAAATCACTTATTTTTAATAATGCAAAAGCGTAAATTCATGATTACTTATAGCATAACACGCGAAAAATATTTATCCCCAATTTTTTTTAGATATTTCTACGTCTATCAGGTTACAAAATTGCATTTTTATTAACATTTTACAAGAAAAATAGATTTGTAATAAAATTTAATAAAATAACGCTTAGAGAGTATTTAAAATGTTGTTTAATTTAGGCTTTTTAGTAGTTTTCAATTTTGAACGAAACATTGGTTGAAGTTTTTTGATCGGCACTCTTTGGTGATTTAAAAAAGATATTTACCAAAATTCTAACTGTTTTTTGTTTAAATTTGTAAAAAATTCATTTTTTTTAATTATTTGTTTATCGCAAAGTCTACCTTTGCCAGAGTACACATTTGTACACCGATATTGTAAACGAGAGAAACTGTTTTTATACTGAGCACATCATTAGATTTATACAGGGTTAGACAAAAATCACTTTTTTATATAGTCTGTGAGTAAAACGCATAATGCATAAAAAAGATTTTTCAAAATGTTTCGAAAAGGGGAGCAGCTAGGATTTTGGTAAATATTATTTTTAAGTCACCAAAGAGTCCCGAACAAGAAACTGAGGAATTTTTATGCGACTTAAACTTCGCTCAGGCACACCGTGTCCTGACGAGCTAGCAGCGAAGCGCGCCGCGTACTGATCAAGCGCACAGCGGGACAAAAAATTTAATATCTCCGAAATGACATATGAAGGACAAATTTTTGAGTACATTTTATTAAACGGGAACGTTTGCCGCATATTATGACACAAGATTAATTTTTTTTCAGCGTGAAGAACACATACGAAATTTCAATTGTTTATAATAAATGTATGCAAAATTATTTTATTTAAACAAATTAACCTTAATTAAATTATCATTATATAGTCTAAACATTTCTACAATAGTGTGTAAAATTTAATTCAATTATACATAGTGGTTCCAGAGATTCTATTTTTTCAATTTTACCGTGCTCTAAAGTTTGAAAAAATTGTCAACCTTAATAACATTACCAAAAAAACGAATTTTAAAACAATTTTTTTACTGTGACATATGAGTCATGCCTACTACACAATAATGTGATTATTTTCAAAATCGGTGATTTCGTGAAATTTTCTGGTCCCACTTGACGTGGTTTGACTCTACTGTGAAGGCAGATTTATAAATGGTATTGTTAACAATTTTGGTATGGCTTTATAATTATTAAAATTTCATCTATTTTGTATACTTTTATAACTTTTATTTTGTCATGAACCCAATTTTTCATTACTTTTTGCATAGTCGATATTACAAATAATTCTAATGTATTATTTGTCCTATGATAATTTGGCTGTAATTTTAGCATTTATTGGTCTTATTGTAATACGATAATCGTATGTATAAACTAAATATATATTATTATATATAAATATAAAATATATATATATATATATATATATTATTATATATAAATATATAATATATATATATATATATATCGAAGTTTTTCACAAGAAGTTTAATTGTTGTCGCCAAATGGGATATTCACGAGGGGTCAACCACCCAGAGGGAAAACGTCCAGGGATTCCCATGTATTCCCATTATATTTTATTGTATTCCTATGTATTTCCATTGTATTCCTATGGTATTCCCCCTCTAAAATGTCCAGGGATTCCCAGGTGTGGGTGACCCCTAGGATATTCATTAAAAAAAAAACAATATTTCACTGATACAATTATATTTATATCTACATACATATAATGTACACAATTATTCTTTTTACATGTTCAGTCCGCAATGATCACGCTGACGAATCTGTCGCCTCGGTCTTTAAAATGTATGTGACCAATAATTAGGAACACGAAAATTTAAATTTAAAATTTACTGTTTATTATTAGATTTAAACAATATTTAAGCAGGAGTATCCATGTCGGAGATAAAATATTACTTATTACACTGTGCAACACAAAAAATGAACTGGGATTAAATCTGAAAAAATCGAATCTAATCAACCCCCAAAACAAATCCTTTAAGGGGTTTTACCAGTTTAGCTCAAATAATGGAGATATATAAAAGCCCCTACAACTTAAAAAATATGAATTTTATAGAAAAATGCTCGGACACGTCGATTTTTATTTTATATGACGCAATTTTCAGTTGATTTTGAAATTTTTATTTTTTCACAGATTCACCCCCAGCCACCCCACTTTTTTTTTAAAGAAAACCGACCCTTTGTTATACCTTAAATAACAGGTAATGTAAAGGGCTTTTTAACGGTATAAATAAAGTTTTTATTAATTTAAAAAAATATTACCAAAATTCAAAATTTAATTTGATGTTTTTTATCATAACTATCCATACATACAAATAAAACGCTTTTTGAACTAAAATAAACTTTAATTAATCCTCAGAATCTGGTTCATCTAACTCTTGATCTAAATCGTCCTCTGTGTCGCTCGCTGGATCGTATTTTATGAATGTTATCCAACAGGCATCTGCGATCAAGGCATCCAATGGTTGGATAACATTCATAAAATTTCAAACTCAACTGAAAATTGCGTCATATAAAATAAAAATCGACGTGTCCGAGCATTTTTCTATAAAATTCATATTTTTTAAGTTCTAGGGGCTTTTATATATCTCCATTATTAGAGCTAAACTAGCAAACCCCCTTTAAAGATTAGTTTTGGGGATTGCATAGATTCGATTTTTCCACATTTCATCCCAGTTCAAATTGTAAGGTCAAAATTTGTCGCACAGTGTTATATTACATCATAACTTTAAATATGATAATAGTAAATATCTGTTCGTTCCAAAATGTATTAAATTTTACCTAGCAGTTTTTAAATGATATGTAATACGCAAGTGCATTATTTTTAATATTTGGAATGTAACTTATGTTTAAAAATTATAAATACAATTTTCAAAAGAAAAAACTGTCCTACACAAAAACAACTTTGACATCCCTTATTCTAACTTTGTACTTAAAAATTAAAACAAACTAGGTACTCTCTAAAAATGAATTAAATGAATAAAATTGAAATGACTAATTTAACCCTCCGGCGGGAGCGCCGGCGGCAAAAAGCCGCAAATTTACATTTTACTCTTAGAACTCAAATATGGTCAGCTCTGTAATATTGTGCGTCTATGAATTCCTTGTTTATGTTATTGGCTTCGCCTACTAACAGTCTTGGTGCAAAAGGCATTTCCAGCCGAATTTGCGGTGTGTTTGCGGCAGCGCGCCCTGTCATGTTATTTTTATTTATTAATAAACTTTTCATAAATATCAATGCGCATTTTACATGCATGTGTACGGGCATTATTGTGTATGCTAACACACAGTTCACGTAAAGGATTAACAACCGATGAGTTAAAAAATATATTTGTTTAAATTGTTTTTTACATTTAATTAGGCTGTTATGTCTTACTTTACTACACAAAATATTTTTTTGTTAGATGTAAGCTAGAAACGTAAAGAACCAAATGCGGTGTAAAAACCGCGGCGCGCCCGCTCATGTAATTCCCAAAAGCGCGCCCGTCCGAGGTTTAATAGTTATTAGTGGATGCTTACCATGGTATCCCACAAGTTAACAGCCAATTCTTATGTAAAAAAGTCCCATGAATCCGAAAATACCGTCAAAAATGATGAAAGTGGAGCAGTTTTTGAGATATAGTCAATTCTATATTAAATGGAAAATTGACTATATCTCAAAAACTTTTTTAACTTTTGATGACATTTTCGGATTCAGGCGACAATTTTACATAAGAATTGGCTATTAAATTTTGGGATAACATGGTATTCCATGGTTAACCATGGTACAAGTGAAAAAGCAGCCACTAATAACTATTCAATTAGTCATTTTTGTCCAATTCATTTTTAGAGAGTAGGTTTATAACTAATTTTCTCATTTGGCCATTTAAGTTATTTGTTTTTAGACAGACAATTCGCCAACCCAGAATAATATCGCAATATTTTTGACATTTATTATTACATACACACATCCATTTTAGCAAAAATATATAACCACACGCTACATTTTCTGACAATCGCAAAATATAATTAAGGTAAATGCAAGTTTTTTCCCGTTCATCACACCCCGACTACTCTCTAAATATGGACGTTACTTGTCACTTAATCACTCCTTATATCATCTGTCTTTATTTACACTGTCTATTTACAAATAACTGATAAACACTACAGAAGGATTTAAATTAAAAGTTTGTAACTAGGGAAATAAAGAACTTATTATATGTATAATAAAGCCTTTCTTCACTATAAGCTTTTTAATACCTTTTATAATTTAGCGCACCGACTTTTTACAATAAGTTTTAATTTACGTAAGCCTTAATATAGCCATCACACTTGCCAATAAGAAAATCTCGATCACATTTCTGTTTGTACTACTTTCCACTGCAGCGGGATTTTTCATTAATGAAGAAGCATTGCTATCACTATCATCTAGTAAAATGTCGTTTTTTTCCTTTTTTAAAGAACCTTCCCCTTGCTTAATAATAATGACTTGTGGAGGTAAGGATATTGGGTTTGCTTCTTGGGTTGTAGTAGTGGTTTTTGATGTGGTCGTCGTTGTGGTAGTACTGGTGGTTGTGGTGGTGGTTGGAACATGACTATTGTTATGTATAAAGTACAATGGATCAAAATTGGCATATACTTCATCCATTTTCTTTTCGCGTTTGCTTTCGTGAATAACCCATTCGCGGCGTTTCTCATCCTTGTATATTGCAACAACCGTAGCGGTATAAGGAACATCAGTTTCTGTATAATTACCGATCAATGTTACGTTAACAGCCGTTCCCGTTTCCAAGTATCTTTCAATTGGTGCCATCTCAATTCTTTCAGCTGATTCAGAAATACCCCATTTTCCTTTTAAAGAAGTGCCGTTATTAAGATGTACAGTAAAAGGCAAACCCGTGAGTAGGCCGTGTCCCTTTCCCCAAGATAGAAAGTGAGTATAATTGTAACTTATAACGCTTTCGACTCTTTGTAATCCCTCCACTTCATTTTTTAAAATTGCCTTCCCAAGGATCGTTTTTTTCTTAGGCGATCTTCTAAGTACGAATCTTAGTGATTTGAATTCGTAGCGCACGGGCTCTGATTCAACTAATATTTCACCATCTTCAAATTCTATTTCGTTGTTATTTTGATCTACTAAATGAAAAACGCCAAGATCCTCGGTAGAATCAAATATGCCAACGTAATAACTTAGAGACCCACCCTTTCCATGAACCTTAGCTTTTCTTCTAGCTATAAACAATGTGTGTTGCTCGTCGCTGCAAACAGCACCCTGCGGGTTAAGAGTATATTTATCACGATAGACCCAGCTAAGCCTGGCACTATTTTCAATGTTGATTAGGATTTCAAAGTTTTTCTCCTCGTTAACATGATTGTAATGGGAAACAATGCATACGTTTTTGTCTAGTCGCAATTGCCCAGTCACCCATATACCATTGGCTTTTGCTCTGCAAATATATACTGGCTTTGTTGAAACCGATTCATCACTCGTGTCATCATAACTTACGGAACCTTTAAAAAATAAGAGTTGTTTAAAATTATTTTCTGCACAACCATGCTATTTTGAATAATTTACTGTATCTATTTAAAGATCGGAAGATTGTGTTTACTGGTTGCTAGGAGTAGCGCGTCGGTAAGTAATTACTTACCGACGCGTTATCTGATCGGTAAGTAAACATTATTACAAAAAAATTGACAAAAAATAAAAATACTTTTTTTTAAATTAAATGTTTGAACAGTAAGGAGTTTACCGATCTTCGCCAAACATTGTCGTCTATATTTACTGGTCTTGATAATTTAATATAATAATTATTATTAAGTTAAATATACCTTTTAAAGTTTGGTTCGCTCCAACGACTGCATTTTGAAGTAAAAATGTATTAATGCCACTTGCGGGATACCATTGAAGTGTAGTGGATGTCACAACTTGGTCTAAATTTTCCGACAATATATGAACATAGGGCTCGCTTCTGGAAAATGGCATTATTAGTCCAATTAGAACTATAACTAAGAAGTTCATTTCTGTTCTGTAAGAATAAAAAATACATTACATTACATTACATTAAACAGAAAACATATAAAATTGTATCATTGTTATTTAAACCTGATGTAGTATTTATGAAACACGTATATTTGCATAAAATATCTATTCAGTTTCGTAATTTACGATTTTTAATTATGAAATTCTACCTGTTAATAATAAGTGAATCTTCAATGTGTAGGTGTTTAGAATTCAGCTTTTGTATAGCAATCTTATCCTATTTTTAAAAAAGGTTAAAAAAGTAACACAATTTAAAATATAAATCTTACATTATTCTAACCATTAAACAAGGCCCTTGTTTTTGGCTTTATGTACTTCTTATTTAATTTATATGTAAATATAATAGGTGTTAATTGTTTTATCTTAATTATAAAATAAAACAATTAACACCTAAGTTCTAAAGTAGGTATTTACAGATATTTGGTTTTATTCAGCAGTAAATATTATATTACATTATGATGTGTAAATAATAATATTAATATACATCGCCGACGGTGGAATAGTGGTTAGTGCTGCTGACTACAAGCCGGAGGTCGTGGGTTCGAATCCCACCAGGGGTATGGCTGTTTATTTGTGTTTGTCCTATTGTGTAATAGTCCTTCGGAGGGGACTTTAAGCCCGCGGTCCGTTCCTACCCCTAACCCGCACAAGCCATTCAGTTGGCTTCTGGGACTTCTTAGGAAGTAAGGGTGAAACTAAAAGAGCACTTTTGTATATAAACTTTTTATATTATTATTATAGGTAAGAAGTCCATGTGTAAAACTCATAGATGCATATTTGTTTACCTAAAACCGTTACTACTTTTTTATGTAATAAAAAAACAGGCAATTTAGGATTATTACTATTAAAAAAATAGGTTATAAAATTAATTACCTTTATTAACAATCACATAGTTATTAAATAAAAATATGCCAAGGTTGCAAACATTTCATTCAATGTTTATACTCATTCAATAATATCAAATTGCGTCAGTTCCTGTATAGTAAAATGTAGTAAGCCATATTAGTCAGTACCATGTGTGCAAAACATCACTTATATATTTTCGGCCTGATAAAAAATTTAAATTAACAGATGAAACGTATCTTTGTGAATACATAATATATCTTAATTATCGATAATTATAATATTTCTAAACCATATAATTGATATTGTCACTCCATTTAAACTTTGTTTCATTAAGCATAATGGCTCGGAAATCATTGCTGGTCCCACAATAAAACCTACACCAATTGATCAATAAAACACTTGAACAAAAATCATAACTTAAATACAACAGGGGTGGGCGATACATTCGACTTTAATGGACGAGGATTTTCTTCCCCTAAATCCGGTAGCAAGCAAGACCCTACATAATTAAAGCAAGTCCATTGAAATCAAAAAACCTAAGCAAAAGCTCGTTAGAAAGTGGGAACGAACATATTCACAGAAAGTAAACAAAATATAAAAATATTGTGCGCCTAATGGCCAAAAGAGGAGATTCCTCGAGAGGGAAGTTTGAAGAACGAGCGTAGCAAGTGCGGTAATTCGCACACAATATTTTATTCAACTATCGCAAGGAATTTAAAGCCAATTTTGGTTAGTAAAACTTTTCTACCTAGCAACACTTTTATTAAGCAAATCTTAAAAATCTTAAAGAAAAGTACTAGTTTTGAAGGTTGGAACGTCTATCTGACGGATGTCAGATTTTCTATCCGACAGATGTCAGTAGTATATAAGGGGCGACTATATTGATATATGATGATTTTTACTTTATTAATTACCTAATGCTTTTTCATTAAAAAATCCAAAAAAAGTAAGTATTTTATCTTAACATTAAGATTAAAGATAAAAGGTTGTATGCCATGTGGCTGAGAAGTGTTCTTTTATGCTTCGCTCAAAAAATCTCTCTCAGCCTAATGACATAAATAAGTATAGTTTATTTTAATAAAATTGGTGAAATAAATGATAAGTTGACTTACCCATGCATAATTTATTTTTTCTACTCCTATTACGAAATATGACCGTTCTAATATCATTTTTAATGTGGAATTGGGGCCGAGGATGGCGCAGTGCGTTAAAGCTACAGAGCGGTAATCAATCTGCGCCACGGTACCGGGTTCGATTCCCGGTCACAGCCTTGGGTGTTATGGTTGTTTTTAAGAACCAAAAAATTTATAATAATGAGCTGGCTAAATAATCGAAAAGATTAAAAGTCAATAAAAAAAATAAAAATAATGTGGAATTAGATATATTTTTATTGTGGAATTATACATAGGTATTCCAAGTATTACATAATTAATTGTTTTATCACCGAATGCACTGGTGGCGACATCCCTGTATTTATTATATAAAAACTTTTAGACCGATCCAACCTGACTTTTGCCCAATTAAATTATTTTTCTATGGTATTTTTTGGAAACGTAGAAAAAGTGTAGTCTGAAACACATTTGTGAAACCGTCAAACTCGCCGTTTGACAAACTTTTCACTCGAGCGGAATATCCCGTAGTCCAAAGTTGTTACAGAATACTTTTATATTCTCCCACATTGTCAAGCTGCAAGTTTATGGCGTTTTAGTCACGGGCTGAATTTATTAATAGTGGATTATGGGCATTTTAGCCTCATGTGGCCTGCAGGCTAAAGTTGAATATTATTAAATTAAATTCGTCATATGTCAAATATTTAAGAATTAAAATTTTAAAATCTTTTTTGTGTTAGTTGTAGATAAAGTACCTAAATTTCTCTAGACACTCGTTTTTAATAAACACTCGCAAACTTCGCTCGTGCCAAGGGTTTTTAAATGTCCAGAAAAATTGAGCCGGCGGAAAAAAACCGTTTTTTTAAGGTTAAAACGAAAAAAAAAAATACAAAAGTAATTTGTTCTTAAATATCTAAATTTTTACGGATAATACACAGATATCGAGAAAAAAAAATTTCCGACGCTAATTATAATCATAATATTATGATTATAATATTTATTCCTTTTATTTTAATTCAGTAAGAATGTTGTACCGGGCCCCTAAAAAACATATTTGCTGTATTAACTATAGTTTTATGTGACACATAATTTTATAATTGGATATTTTACAAAAAGGACCCTTAAATCAATTAAATTCAATTCAATGTTTAGTTTAATTTTTTTTTTCTGTACCTAGTAAAGGATATTTTTTTAAATTAAAATAATGTTAAGTTCTTGATTGATGGGGCCTTTTATTAAAAGGTGTATATTAAAAAGGCCAGTTTTTTACCCCAATATTTTTTTTTGACAATTTAAAACCCACGAGTCGTGCCTAATAAAACTAAAATGGCGTTTATAAAACTTGATACATTATATACTTATAGCACGTAGCAATTAAGTGGTTAATTAGGCAGAAACCGGTGCCAACTGCTAATAAGAAAACTCATCACCCTCGTTAAATCGATTTACATAAAAAAACACTTTGCATGGCTTGTCTTTTTAGTTTAATATAAATTTAAGAATATTAAATATTATTTCATATATTCTATAGAAGGTTTAACCTTTAAAACCTTTAAAAATTAATTACTGACTGAATCTATTAATGTGCAGGAGAATGATTTGTATACACTCACCGTCAAAAAAACGGCCACCAAAAATTGTCCCGAATTTTAATGTTAATTTCCTCGCGAGCCGCTCATTTGATTTTGATGATCATGATTTTTCAGTTACGGTGCTATGGTAAACAATTCTATTTAGATTTTAATTTGCGCATATACAGGTTGCAAAAATAAGAAGAAGTTTTTTCCCGAACATCAGATGTGAAAAAAAAAACATAAAAAAACCTATAAAAAACGGTTTTTTTGTTTTTTTTTTCAAATCCGCTACAATAAAGCATATTCTGTCAATAAATAACATCAATCTTAAAAAATTGAGTAATTTTTCAAAATGAAATTTTGAGTAAAATGTATATTAATAATAAAGTGGAATGTAGAATATAATAAATTTTTCATTATTGAAAATTTTGACCGAGACTAAAAAATCTGATTTCTTATTATTTGGTAGTTTCCACATAAGAAACCAATAGCAATGTAAAACTTCTACACTAATAAAAAAAATTCCAATTTTTTTGCAATTTTTCGGATAGCTGTATCTTCGTTAAAAATGGTCTTATTGGAGCCGTAAAAAAAGCAATTTGAGGCTTGAAGTTTCTAGTTTTGAGATTTTTAGATGACGTGCAACGCTCAATCCTAACGAATACCGTAATAAAAAAAATTCGAAATTTGTTTGGCTTTTGGTCCACGGAATGTTCTGACTTTACCACCAATGAATAAATGTTCTACAAGAATTTGCTATTGTTTTTTTGAAAAAAAAAATTCCATACTCTACATGCATTTGAAAAATCATGAAAAAAGTGCTTTTGGTAGCTTTTTAAAAAATCAAGCGCTGAATCAAAAATATTATAAGGTAGTTACTTTTTTTAGGACCAAATCAAAACAAGCGCGGCCTTTATTGGTCAATTCGGTGGTGGTGGCGCATGCATAGCGCGAGACTGTATTTACATTTACTAAATGTCAATTAGTGGCTAATTTTAGCCCATGAACTGGACTGGAAACATAAAAAATTAGGCAAATGTGACTAATCTTGAAAAAACCTAAAGTATGAAAAAAACCATTTGAAAAAAACAATGAAAAAACAAAAAAAACGGACCGTTTTTTTTTCAAGTCGCATCTCTACACATAACGTTGACCATTTTTAATTAATGCCATAATACGAGAAATACGTTTCAGATAACGGTATTTTTTCATTTGACAACTTTAACTGTCATTTTTCAAAATAACTGACATCCGTTCCAGCGTATATTGACTACAGTAGAAACCGTCAATATATGAACGTGACTCATCGGGTGCCGAACATATCTCAGACATGCTAGCAGTAATGTTTTACTTGTCTTGTACATTCGATGCAGCGGTAAATGTACTCACACGTAGGTTTTTAAGCATCCGGTCTAAAATGCGCCATCTGTGATGTAAAACTGCCTAGGTGTTGGACA